TTCGAAATTTATTGAACTGTAGTTTTCGTGCGGCTAGTCACGTTCACGTTCCCGTGTCCCCTTTATTGTGGGGCATTTAAATTCCCTTGTTAACTCGCTGACAGCGTTAAAAATTTACGTTCTTTTTATTCTTTTTATTCTTTCTTCTTGTTTCCTTTGTCATTCAATTTTCCAGGACCTTCTAATTGTTGGATGCGAAGAAGGAACAGGCAGTAATTTCATTTGTTATGCTTATCGGCCGAGGTCACGCACGGCAGTAACTGCATGTTAGGCAATAATAGAATAGCTGGGTTATTCACTGTCTTATTTATAAGCAATGCCTGTCACAATCTCTTGCAGCAACCAAAGCCTTCTATTCTCTCCTTCATTGCTACTTTTGTTCAAGCCGAAAACTGTACAGAATATTGTTCTGTATTATTTATCTATTTTCCCAAGGTTATCAGCTGCAATGATCGGTTTAACTGTCAACAAAATACTTGGCTATAATGCTTTGGTGCTCTTAGCAGTGGATAAATAAATTATAACTCCATTTCTAGTATAAAATCTCCAGCAAGAATCAACGACAGCAATTGTTAGGCAATTTCCTGTATTATGTATGATGCGCTAAACTTCTATCACGGGATTCATGCTATGTTGAAATCCATGTTGATGCATGCAAGATTGTCATGTCTGCGTTACAACTTTAAGCTTTCAACATGATGTAGGAACATGTTCAGTCAGCTAATCAAGCAAAAGGAAACGCTAGCCTATAGCTACAAGCGTACATACACTCGCTTGTTAGTCTAATTTTGCAATACAGAGAGCAACTTGTAAGGCCATAAAAACAGCAGACCACAGCAGCCGATTTGTTTATAAGAATTAGGGACTATAAAGGCGGTCTGTAACGTACGACAATGCGTGTTTTATTTTAGAGATCGAGAAATCAGCCAGAAAACACTTGCAAAGGCTAAACAAGTTTAATATGAACACTAGCTGAAATCGCCAGCAACATTTAGAGTATGACCGTTTTTTTACAAAATATATTTTTGTAAAAAAGCTGTCCTTTTACAAATATATATCAGTGTAAAAAAACAGCTTTCTTACGGTACCGTTTATATATATATATATATATATATATTAATAATCACAGGAGTTCAGGCTTCAGGAGTAATCATTGATCGTTTATTGCGACAGTGCTGTTTCGTATGGTCCGAAATTGTAGGACCACACTCATCAGGCAACTTCAACGATTGACCGTTAAAATTAAAAGCTGGCAGTAAATATAGGGATGCGTTAAGAGATAGTATCTAGGTAACAGATGGATTGTGTCTTAGTTACGTTACTCTAGAGTTCTGAAGTACATATCTGTTTCTGTGGGGGCATGAACTCGCTAGTTCGTTTCGCCTGTTTAGGCTACAAAGCTCTTTTTTACAAATGATGATAAACTTTTCCTAAAGACAAAGATTACATTTTTTGCTAATGTTGCTATAGGCTTTACATTTCTTTTAAAACTTTCCATTTTATCTGGAAAGGTTTGTTAGAGTCTTGTAAAGTCCAAATATATTTTGATAGTTCCGTTTCATTTCTTCTGTTCGAGCGTCGAAAGGAGGACTGATGGTTTCTGTAACGTTCCTTAAAGTTTGTTGCCAGTCCGACGTAAGTTTCAGTTGTCGTCGCTGTAGTTACAGTGGCTTGGTAGATTACATTTGATTGGAGGCATTTTCCTTCGAGTGGACAATCTGGTTTCTTTCTGCAATTGCAGGTGTCAGGTTGTTGCGTTGGTGAGTTGAAATTTGAAAGAACGTACTTGTTGTGTGACGAGATGACAGATTTCATGTTAGGCATGCATGAGTAGCTTAGTTTTAGCGTGTGTCTGTTGAAAATCTTGTGGAGTGGGTGGTTTTTTGGAAAGCATTTGTCGACGATGTGCAGAAATTTTCTTCCAAGGTTAGTTCTGACGTTTGAGTTGAAAGGAGGGTTGTACCATGTGATGTTTCTTGTTCGTTTTCTTTTGTTTTTCGGAGCTTTCTCTTGTGGGGGGTTGTATGCTAACTTGTGGTCGTATCCGCTTTCTGTTAGAGCTTTCTGGTAAGGGGCAATAGATTCGTCAAATACTTCTTTGCTGGATGAGATGCTAGTTAACCTTTTGTTAATGTTGAGTGGGATATTCTTTAGTAGTGCTGGGGGGTGGTTGCTCTGTTGGTGGACATAGGACAGTTTATTATTAGGCTTCATGAATGGCTTGTAGCACCCGTTTGTGAGGTTGAAGGTCACATCAAGAAAGTTGACGACCTTTTTGTTAGCTTCGATTGTGATTTTAAGGCCATTGGATTTGAACACTTGGCAGACTTCTTGCTTGGTTTTTTCAATTTCTTTTGGAGTGGCCTTGCAAATTGCGAGGCCATCGTCTCGGTACAGACCAACTTCATTTTTGAATTTTGGTGCTATCAAGGATAACATGTAGGCGCCTATTAACTCGCACGTTTCTGCTCCGTCGTAAGAGCCCATGGTGACATCAAACATGTTGTTTGCGTTCTTCTTGGTCCATGGAGAATTTTGGTGGTAAAGGAGTGACTTTTTCGCGTGAGTGATGATGTGGCGGTCTTGTTGTGTGATGGTGGTGAATCGTGAGGCATAGTTTAATGCTTTCAGTAGCAGGTCTTCAGATATGGATGGGTAAAAATCGCAGACGTCAAAGGTGATAAATGCGTGTTTTTCCTTTTCCGGTATATCTTTAAACCATTCTATGGTTTCTTTGGTACATTTCCACAGGTTCACTTTAGTCGCTTGTGTGATTTCGTGGTTTATTCGGTCCAGGATGTTTTTGCTGATGATGCCAATTTCGGATTTGCATGGATTAATGAGTCTGCAGGTCGGGTTATTTATGAAATCAGGTTTGTGGTCTTTTAGCGTTATGAATGAGTCTCTGGGCGCTGAGGCCTCAATGCGGTCTGCAAGTTCCAGTTTTTCTGCGATTATCTTGTCTTTTAAAGTGATCATGTCCGGCACCTTTGGGTTTGTCTTCTTGTATGTCTTCGTGACGTTTTTGTCTACAAGTGTCATGTAGTCGTTGGGTTCAGTCTTGTAATAGTTAGTCGTTTTGTCTGCTTTGACGAAAATGTTCTTCTCTTCCTTTATTTCCTTTGCGTCTTTGCTGAGCTTTTTCTGAAGATCGTTAGGGTGGGTGTTGGTCTTGAATTCAACTCGCTGTATCATGTCAAGTATGCAGTCCTCAAACTCGTTGAGCTCTTTTACGTGTGGTGGAGACCGTTTCGATTTAAATCCGTAAGTTTCTTTGGTAGCGTCATCAGTGTTCTTGTTGAGAAAAAAGAAGGCTTTCCAGCGCATACGTTGAATTAAGGATTCTGTTTTAGCAATTAGTGTTTGAAGAAACGCATTTTTACTTGCCAGTGGGATGTTCTTCATTGAATACTCGAAGTCCTTCACTTGGAAATTCATTCTTGACAGCGCTCAACTGTAGGGCAGGAGCTATGTAAATACTTGTATTCTGGGAAGAACGTATTCCGTAGAGCGCTCAATTCATTTAATTGAAGAGCATTGACTATTAATAATCACAGGAGTTCAGGCTTCAGGAGTAATCATTGATCGTTTATTGCGACAGTGCTGTTTCGTATGGTCCGAAATTGTAGGACCACACTCATCAGGCAACTTCAACGATTGACCGTTAAAATTAAAAGCTGGCAGTAAATATAGGGATGCGTTAAGAGATAGTATCTAGGTAACAGATGGATTGTGTCTTAGTTACGTTACTCTAGAGTTCTGAAGTACATATCTGTTTCTGTGGGGGCATGAACTCGCTAGTTCGTTTCGCCTGTTTAGGCTACAAAGCTCTTTTTTACAAATGATGATAAACTTTTCCTAAAGACAAAGATTACATTTTTTGCTAATGTTGCTATAGGCTTTACATTTCTTTAAAACTTTCCATTTTATCTGGAAAGGTTTGTTAGAGTCTTGTAAAGTCCAAATATATTTTGATAGTTCCGTTTCATTTCTTCTGTTCGAGCGTCGAAAGGAGGACTGATGGTTTCTGTAACGTTCCTTAAAGTTTGTTGCCAGTCCGACGTAAGTTTCAGTTGTCGTCGCTGTAGTTACAGTGGCTTGGTAGATTACATTTGATTGAAACTGTCCTATGTCCACCAACAGAGCAACCACCCCCCAGCACTACTAAAGAATATCCCACTCAACATTAACAAAAGGTTAACTAGCATCTCATCCAGCAAAGAAGTATTTGACGAATCTATTGCCCCTTACCAGAAAGCTCTAACAGAAAGCGGATACGACCACAAGTTAGCATACAACCCCCCACAAGAGAAAGTTCCGAAAAACAAAAGAAAACGAACAAGAAACATCACATGGTACAACCCTCCTTTCAACTCAAACGTCAGAACTAACCTTGGAAGAAAATTTCTGCACATCGTCGACAAATGCTTTCCAAAAAAACCACCCACTCCACAAGATTTTCAACAGACACACGCTAAAACTAAGCTACTCATGCATGCCTAACATGAAATCTGTCATCTCGTCACACAACAAGTACGTTCTTTCAAATTTCAACTCACCAACGCAACAACCTGACACCTGCAATTGCAGAAAGAAACCAGATTGTCCACTCGAAGGAAAATGCCTCCAATCAAATGTAATCTACCAAGCCACTGTAACTACAGCGACGACAACTGAAACTTACGTCGGACTGGCAACAAACTTTAAGGAACGTTACAGAAACCATCAGTCCTCCTTTCGACGCTCGAACAGAAGAAATGAAACGGAACTCTCAAAATATATTTGGACTTTACAAGACTCTAAGAAAGCTTTCCAGATAAAATGGAAAGTTTTAAAGAAATGTAAAGCCTATAGCAACATTAGCAAAAAATGTAATCTTTGTCTTTATGAAAAGTTTATCATCATTTGTAAAAAAGAGCTTTGTAGCCTAAACAGGCGAAACGAACTAGCGAGTTCATGCCCCCACAGAAACAGATATGTACTTCAGAACTCTAGAGTAA